GAACTTGGAGTGAATGAGCAAATGGGTCATCATACCTATCACTTAGTCCTCCTCAGATACTCAGAGTATGTAGTAAAAGGAAACCATGCCATGGGCCAGCTGCACATTTTGCACCCTATGGAATGGCTTTGTTTGTGTCCCCAGGTGCCCATGCACATTCGGTCTTTGGGCCCCACTTCGTCTTGATGAGGGACTCCTCCTCGACACTGCTCTTGTCAGATATCCCAGCAGATTTCTGACATAATATTTGGAAATAAATCTTGAAATCTCAATAGCAATGAAACTACTACATCCTTTGATTGAATCCCTTATTGTGAGATTTTTTTTTTCCGGTCATCCAATTTGAGGTTATTAAATGACCTTTGGTAAAAATGAGGTGGAATCGTTTAAGCCTTTCATTTGGGTTTTCCAAATGCTTGCCAGTGAGGAACCTTTATCATCCATAGTAATTCCGTCACACAGGGGGCTCTTCTGTTTAGGAAATGAGTGGAGATGAGAGCAGTGGTGCCATGGTCCTTGGAGGGGGCTCTCACCTGCACCTCCCTCTGCACTGGGCCCTTTAACCCTGATCTACATCCATCAATTGTGATGTGACAGTGACAGAATATTCCCAAGATTTTGAATGATTATTGGGGTGTGTGACATCTGTCCCAGGCAATGAAATGAAATATAGGAAATAAGCTTTTCCCTGGCTGCAAAGAACCCAGAATAATATTTTATTTACTATTCTTCATCCTACAGAGGGAAATAGTGCTTTCAGGGGCCCTGAACAATATCTCTTCATAGTTAAGCTTCACAGATCCTTCAAATGATCTAGGGAAATTAGAATGAAAAAATGAAACATTTTAACTCTCTAAATCAGGTACAAGCCTTTGAAAAACTTGTTTCCTAAAAGAAAACTTATGTAAGGAATATTTTTATAAATTTTTGTCAGTCCCCTACAAGAAAATTTGATTGTTTTTTTCTATAGCTTATAAAGAAAAGCTCTCAAAGCTATTTTATTTATTTTATATCAATTTTATTAAGCATATAATTTCAAGGTTTTTCAGTGTGTCAGTCTCTTCCAGATAAAATAATCTGTTAGACAAAAATGGTACTTGTTTTTTATAAAAATAAATTTTACTTTACTTTATAAAAATTTATTTGCTTATTTTTATTTGACAGAGAAACAGAGAGAGCAAGACAGATAGAGATCTTCCATCTGCTGTGTCACTTGCCAAATGCTTCCAATAGTCAGAAATGGGCCAGAGTGAAGCCGGGAGCCCAGAACTTAATCCAGGTCTCCCATGTGGGTGGCAGGGACCCAAATACTTGAGCCATCACCTGCTGCCTCCGAGAATGCACATTAGCAGGAAACTGGATCAGAGTGAAGCAGTTCGAACTCCAATCAGGCACCCAGATATGAGGTATAGGCATCCTGGGGGCCACTTAACAGAGTGCCAAACACTTCCCCCAGTCACTTAGGAAAATTAAGAATAATACCATTTATAAAATCTTACCAATACTTAGTCCCCATTTTACCAAGGAAATCAAAGCATTTTTGAAGCATAATCATATAACTTATTTAAATGCATTTTAGACAGACCCAAGACTACTGATCATGTAAGTCATTGGTCTACCAGCATTCAAAACCTGATGCAAAAGCAGGTGCTGTGGCATAGTGGGTAAAGCCATTACCTGCAGTGCCAGCATCCCCTATAGGCTCTGGTTTGAATCCCAACTACTCCACTTCTGATCCAGCTCTCTGCTTGTGGCCTGGGAAAGCAGTGGAGGATGGTCCAACATTTTGGGTCCCTGCACCCGCATGGGAGACTCAGAAGAAGCTCCTGGCTTCTAGCTTCAGATTGGCCCAGCTCTGGGTTGCAGCCATTTGGGGAGTGAACCAGTGGATGGAAGACCTCTCTCTCTACCTCTACCTCTACCTCTACCTCTACCTCTGCCTCTGCCTCTGCCTCTGCCTCTGCCTCTGCCTCTGCCTCTGCCTCTGCCTCTCTGTAACTACCTTTCAAATAAATAAATAAATTTCTAAAAAAAATCGATGCAGCAATATGCAGGAACTTAAAATAAGATGGCAAACTGACATGGGCTGCTGGCCCCCTTCTCCCACTCTGCATCCAAGAGAATGCTCAAATGTAGAATGGAAGATATGGGTCTAGGAGAACTCACATTAAACTGTGAAAATCACTGAGGGCGCAGATAAGGTCTTAAGGAAGGCTCCTGCCCCCGTCCTGTTGCACTACTTCCCCCTGGAGCCACATCAGTGCCAAGGGAGGGGTTATCTAGGAGGTAGACACATCTGCCAGCCCTTGAACACACCTGCTACCCACTCCTCTACAGTGAGAGCTGGAAGGTGAGAGTTCAACTCTCAAGGCAGCTCTTGGGAAGAAAAGTGCCAACACCAGACCACAGAGTATTTCTCTGAGAAAGATGGGGGACCCAGGAATCAAACCCAGAATACAAGTTCACAGAGAAAAGCAGACAAGTGTGCAAGGAGCTCAAATGCTATAAAAGAAAGTTTGCAAGCTGAGCAACCTATACCAAGTGACACCCAATAAACAGAAAAGAAAAATACAGAACTTTTGAAAAAAATAATATTCTCCAATCTAAGACATAAGAAAGGGGCATTAAAATTACTGGTAATGTTTTATATTTTATAAGCTGGGGATGAATGCTAGAAAATTCATTTAATTCCTTTAATATTTTACATATGTTATAAATATTTAATATGTAATTATTATTTTTTAAAATTATTTAATTCTAAGAAGAAAATCAAGTAGCTGTGTGGAAGCCACCAACTTAAAAGGGATTTGTGAACTTGGAGAAAAAAGTGAATTAGTCTATAGTAGTATTCCTCACACTTGAGTAATACACTGACCCCTTTTCAAGAAAACAGAACCATCAGCAACAGCAAAAAAAGAAAACAAAATCTCAGGTTCCCTGGAATGTGGCCTTGGGCCTCCTAAGTTTAAAAACATTGGCTTTAATTAGCTCATCTTAAAGCATGTTTTGGTTTAAAATTTTCACAGCAAAAAATTATCATTGCCCAGATGTATGACAGCAAAGAGAAGTTTTCATCTTTATAACTGATTTTTAAAACCTTGGAGTATCATCAAGATGCAAATCTGAAACCTAAAAATGTTCACAGAACTTCTCAAGTTTAATAAATATCAAGAATTTTGAAAGAATTGTAATTATGAGATCAAGTTAACAACAGCATGTCTTTTTTAAATTTATATAAAGGGAATGAGTGTCATGTATTTCATATATACAGTTCAAGAGCATAATGCTACTTCCCACCCTACCCTCCCTCTCTCCTGCTTCCTATTTTTCTTTCAATTTTACTATGACATGCTTTCAGTTTACTTTATAATCACAAGTTATACCTTCCACTAAATGAAGAATTCAACAAGTAGTAAGTAGAAAAACCACTGTTCCTCAAGAGTATAGACAAGGGCTATAAACAGTAATCAACAGCATGTCTTAAAAAGAAAAAGTTATAGTTAATGAAACTGATAATTTAAGATGAAATAATGATATTTATATATACACAAACAGATGTAACTCTGGTAAGATGAGACTATGGGCTCAATAAGATATCTAGGATAAGTCAATGTCATATAATAGGAGTCTGCTCTAATTGTTTTAAAAATGAGAACACGGACAATGTAAGACATTAACAATTGTAACATTAGTGGGAAATGGAAATAGTGGAGTACAACAAAGCATCAATAAATTATTAAATCTAATTGAGTGGTCCAAATCTAGAATTCATTGTTACCAAATGTTCCACACCCTGCTTTCTGATTACCCTGCCCTCATTAGAATTTCTCTTCACCGAGTCAGGTCTTCACACACTGCCCGTATGGCCAGTGTTGGCTTTCTTAGCCCATCTACTAAAGGAATTCCTCAGAACCTTTCCCGAAATGGCTCCACACCCTATTTCCTTCCACATTGCCTCTCTGACCTTCTCTTATTTCCTATTCCTCCACACTCCAGCTCTGTGAGTCTACAGAGGTCCCTCATCTCCATCCTAAACTGAACTCTCTCCCAGTAGCTTTACCAAGGATAACAGTATTGGACCGATGTCGTCCCAGCTTCACCAGTCCTCACATCGTCTCACGTGCACACAGTTTATTCAACACATATTCTTCCTCTTCGTGCATGTGGAGATGTTTTGACCCCTGATGTACTCTGTGCACACACATTTTTTCCTTCTCACACTTGACATAGTTGAGGGCTTTAAGTGGTCAGCCCATGGGAGCCCATGGTCATCTGATATGTTTTGAACAGTTACAGATCATGCCTTATACATCTTCATACTCCCAGCTTCAGGCATGCTTGGGGAATGCCTGTAACTTGGAAGATATTCATTCAGTTTGTGAGAGCACTTAGCAGTGAGAAGGCTTATGGAATTCAGCTAGAATTTTTAGTTACATTAACAATAAATAAAATGAAATGGAGAATTAAGATAATTATCTCTTCTTTCACTTCACCGCTTTCCTCACCCCCTCTCTCCTACCAGCCCCCACCCAAATCAAAGAGATTCTAGGGAGCCTATTTAAATAGAGAAGAGCATGGCTGTCAGAATTTGATAGCTTTGGGTTCAGTTGCAGCACTTGCTAGCTATATGAAATTTAGGGAAGTTGTGTAAAACTTGCAAAGCCTTGGTGTTCTAGGGTACAAAATAAGAATAACAGTAGCTAACCTCATATAATGATATAATTAAATAGCACATGTAAATTTCTTGACAGGCATTATGCCTTTCTCATCACAATAATCAAGAGAAAAACTATCACCACTGTCCTAATATCCTATCATTTAAACAGCCTATGTCCAAATACAGTAGTTATGCCCATTTCACAGATGAGGAAACAACAGAGAGGTTAAGTAACTGGCATGTGGTCACACAGCTAATAAACAATGATGATTGTTTGTGCAAGTTGCCTTTGGCCCTGTCGCTCTTTGTGTCTGCATGACTCACTGCTGCTGGTCTCCCGTAGGTGACTACCCGGCGCCCAGGGCTGTGCTCACAGGTCATGACCATGAAGTCGTCTGTGTTTCTGTCTGTGCAGAACTTGGACTCGTTATCAGTGGTGCTAAAGGTCAGAAGCCATTTCTTTCATTTTAAAATGTACCATTTTCTCAAACTAACCATAACCTAACACTTGATGGTTTCTTTTCTTCCAGGAGATGTTCCACAGACAGATGCAATCCCTAGGTTCTTTGCAGCTGTTTCGTTTTGTTCTTAATATTTACCAGTACTAATATACAGTGTACATCAGAATTTATGTGGTATTCTGTAGTCACCAGCATTCGAACTAGAACACTAGCAAATTAAGTTACAATGCATCCATCTGAGACAACCATTAAAAAGGAAATTGGAAGACAAAGGGGAAATGTCCCTGCTGCAGAGGGGCCCTGAAGGAGTCAGGTTTCTCCTTAGACTTGGCCTTGGATCCACCTTCCTTCTTCACAATGCTAGGGACTGTGGTTCTGTTGAATGTGTGTGAGTGTGTGTGTGTGTGTGTGTGTGTGAGAGAGAGAGAGAGAGAGAGAGAGAGAGAGAGCATGCGCGTACACGAGTCTGTAAGATGCTTTTCAGGAAGAATCAGAAAACTTTGGCCCCAATTCTGGCTGAGACAGTGGTTTGCTGTGGAAAGGCAGAAAGGTACCTAATGCTTAAGAGAAACTGAAAGAGCAAGGAATCTGGAGTGTGAGGAGGCTGAGGCCAAAGAGAGAAAGTCGGGGATGGGGTGGGCTGCTGCCAGTGGCACTAGAATTTACAATGTTAGGTAGGGTGGGAGACCACTGAAGTTATTGTTTCGTATATATAATTTAATTCAAGAGGCAGAGAAAGAGAGACAGAGAGAGCTCCCATCCACTCATTCAGTCTTAAATGCCAAAGGCCGAAACCCAGAGCCAGGAGTCCAACCCAGGTTTCCCACATGGATGGCAGGCACCCAACTAATTGAGCCATCGCTGGCTGCCTCTCAGGGCCTGCATTAGCATGAGGTTGGAATCAGGAGCCAGAACTGGGAAGCAAGCCCACGAATTTTGATATGGGACATAGGCTTCTTAGTGGTCTCTAGCTGCTAAGACAAATGCTCACCCCCCATTGAAGATTTTTAACCTAGGCGATAAGATGATCAGATTTGGTTGTTACAGCTTATTCTGGCTGCTTTATGAAAACAGGAATAGTCTGAAGGCAAGGGTCCATGTGTTTTTCATCTTAGTGTATAAATGCAAAGATGGACACAGAGTATTTTTAATAAATGTCTTTTAATTTTAAAAAGGGTAATAATGTATGTAATATTATTCTATCCTATAAATCTAAAAACAGGAAAATAAGCAACATATACACACATAGGGAAGAAAACATTAATCTCTATAGATGAGGTTGATACTAAGTATTTTTTTTAATTTTCTATAGTGCATGTCTATTACTTTAGTAATTGAAGGAAAATTCAGTAGTTTCATAAAGTCACTTGTTTTGTAAAATACGTGTCTATTCAAATCAAATGATTGAAAAATAAAAATGTCATTTATCCACAGTTTTTTGGGGGGATTTTTGGGGCCAGGGAATGGATATAAATATGCTTGGGATGTCTTCATTCCATATCGGAGTGCATGAGTGTACATCCACATGCCACATCCAGTTCTAGCTTCCTGCTGATGCACACCGTGCGTGTCAGCAGGTGACAACTAAAGTGCTTAGGTCCCTGCCACCCGTGTTCCGGATTGAGTTTCTGGCTCATAGCTTCAGATTGGCCCAGCCTCTGCTGTTGTGGCATTTAGGGAGTGAAACAGGACATGGAAGAGCTTTTTCTCTATTTCTCTCTCTCCTTCTATCTCTATTTCTGTCTCTGCCTTTCAAATAAATTTTTAAAAAATTTTAAAAGACCAAAAGTTTCTGTAGTCTAAATGACCTGATTTGTTTTCTTAATTTTGCTTTTACATTTATGTATGGACTACAGAAAAAGATGAAACTTACTTGATAGCAATGTATTCTTGGGTACAATGTTAAAATTTGCTAAGATTTAATTTATTTATTTGAAAGGCAGAGTTACAAAGGGAGAAAGAGAGGGAGAGACATCGAGAAAGATCTTCTATCCACTGGTTCACTCCCCGAATAGCCACAGCAGCTGGGGCTGCCAGGCGGAAGCTAAGAGCCAGAAGCTTTAGCCAAGTCTCTCATGTGGATGGCAGGGGCCCAAGCATTTGAATCATCTTCCACTGCTTTCCCAGGCACATTGGTAGGGAGGTGGATCAGAAGTGGAGCATCCGGGACTGGAACAAACACTGGTATGGGGTGCCGGCATTATAGGCAGTGGCTTAACCAGCCATGCCACAACACCAGCCCCATAAAATTTTGATGTTAGCAGAGACAATTAACAATTGTTCTGATCATTGTCTTAAGCCTGCAAGAAAAATCTCTAAAAGCACATTAAAAGAAAATTTCTGGGACACATAGGCTTTTATTCTCAAATAATCTATGAACTACGTGCTTTTATTATGAATATTATCTGACAAAAGAAAAGATCAAGTTCTTACCAAGAGAAACAGTTTGGAGCCCGTGTGTGTGCATTATTTACCAGTTGCTGTGTGCTGTTCAAACAAAACCTCAGTGCTTGGCTGTGGCAAGCATACCCTTTTCCTTTTCTGTCTTCTTTCCACATATCTGGTGCATAACCAGGTAAGACTGCCAGGCTGGTGAGAGCTAGTGTGTGATCTGTCCTCACCCACTAACCCTGCCCATGGTGTCACCCCTCTGCAGAGGGCCCTTGCCTTGTCCACACCATCACTGGAGATTTGCTGAGAGCCCTTGAAGGACCAGAAAACTGCTTGTTCCCGCGCTTGATTTCTGTCTCCAGTGAAGGCCACTGTATCATATACTACGAACGAGGGCGGTTCAGCAATTTCAGCATTAACGGGAAACTTTTGGCTCAGATGGAGATCAATGATTCCACACGGGTGAGTCTGCATGTATGATGCTAAGTAGGACAGAAGCCAAGGAACTAGAAGTTGATTGTTTGACATTAAATGATTCATAGGAGAATTTCCCTGGTATCAGGATAAATATGTGCTCGATTTTAAAAAGTATATAAATTCATATAGATTGATAACTTTGAATACACCCCCAGTTCACTTAATCCCAAGTTAATTAACCCCATGTATTAGAGGTGATAGCTAATGTTTATTAGATATTAGACCCTTCAGGAGATGTTTTTTAAGCTCCTTTTACAAAAATAATGATTTCAGCATTGTATCCTCAGAGGACTGAAAGTAAGATTATTGTCAAAGAACCCTATCTTTAAAACATAAGCCAAAATTACATGTCTCCAGTTGCCCTTCATTCATGAATGAATTACAATTGCTGGCTTATCATTATTAAAAACTGTTTCGAAATGTGATTCTTCAATTTGTTCTAAAAGTTTCAGCATTGTTAACATTCAAAACGTAACAAAAACATGTTATTTGATTCTTAAGTTCTTCCTATATTAGACTGTAATATTCTCTTAGGGACTCATGTAATTTTGTAACTTAAATTGGTTTTCATAATATGTTTTGTATATTTATTTAAGAACTTTGATGAATTCCACATTGTAAATTCTGGGGATTAGACTTTAGGAAACTTAGACAAATGACTAAAAGGAGATAATTATAAGGGAGTGGATTTGGTGCTTTTCAATAGCACCCATTGTTTGGGGAAAACAGAGAACTGAGAGAACTGGTTGTCTGCCCTCTCTGAAGGCCATTCTCCTGAGCAGCGATGGCCAGAACCTGGTGACCGGAGGGGACAATGGTGTGGTGGAGGTCTGGCAGGCATGCGACTTCAAGCAGCTGTACATTTACCCTGGATGTGATGCTGGCATTAGAGCGATGGACTTATCCCATGACCAGAGGTGAGCTGTGCCAAGGCAGCTGTAATCAGAGAGAACTCTTTGCATTCTACTAATGGTGAAATGTGCTATGAATAAGATCCCAGTGTGTAGACAAAAGAAGGACTCCCAAAGGAAAGGGTAAATTGAGGGGAGGAGTAAGTATTCCAAGAGAGATGCACAGATACTTCAGGGCCTAAGACATAGGATCTATTCCACCAGCTTCTCTGTTCGCAGCTCCTGACCTGGTCTCCAGCTTTCTCTGCTCCCTTCATGTGAAAGAACCATTTCTGAGCAGATGTGGGTTTCAGGGTGAAGCCTAGTTCTAGCTAATGAAATTCCAGCAAAACACATAGTGCATATTGCAGCTGGCCTTTCCTTTAAAAAACACAAACTGCAAATCTATTCCCTGAAATAAACTTTTCCTTATTTTACTATTCACTTATTTTTCATTTATGTTATATTGTTGTATTTTATGTATTCCTCTAAGATATTTTAATTCTTTCTTAGAATTGATATGGACATTAATTAACATTTTACATAGTCTTCAGTTTGTGACAAGATTTTGTTATTTCCTAAAATTCACTGTTAGGTGTATCATAAAATAAAAAAAATATTAAAGACTATAAAACCTAAAACAAAAAATTAAATTAAAACCCTATAATCTTAAAATGGGATGTAATGTGTTATGTTTACTATATATTTAATAGAAATAAGAAAAGTTTGTTAATCAACTTTTTCCAACTATAATAGTCTATATTAGAATATTGATTTTAAAATATTTTAAATATTAGTCTTATAAAGAAAGTCCAAGGTTATTATTAGCATATTCCAAAGCGCTGCAGTCCACATTTATGAATAAATTGGCATGGTTTACTGTGTATTTATTTGTGTATCCATTGATATTTCTGAAGCATGTCAAATAATTTATGTTCTTAAATAATTTGAATATTGCTTTCTCCCTCATATTCATTCTAGTATTCATTTTGCAAGCATTTGATGCCACCGTCCTAAGTGAGATACTCTGTGAAGTACTAAGGAGCCAGGCCAAGAGTACTGACCCCAAAGAGCTCATATAATCACAGTCTCGGTGTATCAGGGGACTCTCCAGAGTTCATGAAAAACAGCATTAAAATGCATTAACTTTTTTTGAAATCCATGTATATAAGGCTTCTTCAAAAAGTTCATTAAAAGTGCATATTTTGAGAAAACTATTCACAGATTTCAAAATGTTTTGCACCAAAATAAGCTTATCTTTTAATGCCATTTTCTGTGAACTTTTGAAAGACCCCTTGTGCTATGAGGGGAAGCAAGGGCAGGATAACTGAAAAGGAAGTGGTGAGCTCTCTGGAGGGCTGGGGAGCACAGAAAAGATGCCACGAGGAGTCACCAGGCCCGGACAGAGAGGGTGGGTGGAGGGCGCAGAGTCGCAGTCTTAGTGTCAGGGGTCTCCAGCAGTGTTGAAGGAAAGACATGCCCAGGTTTGTTTCTATTTTAGCCCTTCATTTGCATGATTTTTGTTGTTTTGCAATGCATCCAATATGCTGGAACAGCAGCACCTGGCTGTAAATTATAAACTGATAGACATATATTGGGGACGTACGCTCAGAAAGATATATTGGATGAGGTGTCAGATGACAAGTGAAGCGGCGCTTGGTCCAGCTGGAAGGACCTGAGCTCGGTCCCAGCAGGCAGGGGAGAAGCCACCCAGAGAATGGCTGTGTGGTTGGAAGAAGGGTGACTTAACCAGAGACAAACCAGCAAGGTCAGTACGAGGACAGTGATTCAGGGTAGACAGGTTAAGAGCCTGGGGTTGTCTGACAGCCTGCTGGGTGCATCAGTCGGCAGTGGGAACTGGGCACGTGGGGCCTCTGAAGGAGACGAGGCCATTTATGTGCTACTCCAAGGAGTGTGGAGCAAGTTGAAGGGTGAAGTGAGTAGAGGAGCAGACCAACATCGGAAAGGTCAGGGAGATAAGCAGGAAAGCCAGAAATGCACAGAGAAACAACAGATAGCCAGAAGGAGACAGTGGATAGGCGTGGATGTGATTGTCAAGGCACAGCAGGTGCCCAGGGATCTGGGAACTGGGGTCACAGGAGATGCACAGGACTGGCTCAGAGGCTCCAGGCAGAACGCTGAAGAATTTTAATCCCATCTCAGTGAACACAGACTATAGCTCAGTGACCTTTGAGATCATGGCATTGTCTAGTGTCAAGCAGCAGCCACAGAAATGATTTTGTATCACTCTGAACTATTCTCTCTGTTTTTCCAGAACTCTCATTACTGGCATGGCTTCTGGTAGCATTGTAGCTTTTAATATAGATTTTAATCGGTGGCACTATGAGCATCAGAACAGATACTGAAGACCAGTGAAGACCCCAAAGCAAAGCTGAGAGCACAAGTGCTGCGTGGAAGGCAATATCTGGTGGAGCAACTCGCCTACATCGACCTCTGTTGTACATTCCATCACACCCAGCAATAGCTGTACATTGTAGTCAGCAACCATTTTACTTTGTGTGTTTTTTCAGGACTGAACACCAGCTGCTGTCAAGCAAGCTTCTATCATGTAAATTATATGAATTAGGAGATGTTTTGGTAATTATTTCATATATTGTTGTTTATTGAGAAAAGGTTGTAGGACGCGTCACAAGAGACTTTTGACAATTCTGAGGAACCTTGTGTCCAGTTGTTATAAAGGTGAAGCTTTGAACCTAACCTGCATCCCATTTCCAGCCTCTTTTCAAGCTGAGAAAAAAAAAAAAAACACGTTTGATACTTTGTACATCAGATGCATCTTATTTAAAGGGATACTTTTGTAAAAGTAAAACCTTGTATAAAGAACAAAACGTTTCTTAATTTTATTGTGGAGTTACAACTTGCATGTTCTTTACTCCTGATGTCTTGATGGAACAGGTGCATTCACACTATGACACCGAAAGATCTGTCCAAGGACACAGCTTGTATGAAAGGGTTGAATTTGGGCTCAATCAGTAATTTTTGACATTTTCACCAAAATATAATTTGTACTTTTTAATCTAAATTCATCCCTTCTAAGTGAAATTTGCTCATAAAGCATTTGGATACTAAGCCATTATTTGCCATTTTTGGTACTTTATACAAAGAAAATTCAGCCCTACCCTTTATAATTTGAAGACACAGCAGAAAGGGGGCTTAGGGATGAGGTCCTGGGCTTTATTGTATAAATAGAAGTCATGACCATTAGTTCCATAGTAAGGACTTCCCAACACCTGGACATCTCTTCCAGAGTCATCCCACAGGCTTAGTGTGTGTGCATTAGGGGAGGAGAATCTGATGCTGACTTTTTGTTTTCCTCTTTAGTTCTTGAATAGCTTAGTTTCTTTAACAAGTCGGACTTTATTACAACAATAACTGAGATTATTCTTTTAGGTTCTTGTGAAATTCTCACCTAAAGCCACATTCTTGGCCTAAGGCACTTCATCTTTTATGATATAAAATGATGGCTGTCAAATGATTTTCCATACATTGTACTAATCAAGTTATACACCCAGGGGTATATACACTTTATTCATGTTTCTTCTTTGTATATTTGGTGACTGTATCGTCATAGATGTACATATTGTGTCGGTAGGGCTATGAGGCATGTTACAGGAATGTAATTTTCTCAGAATTTACACTCACTTGCAGTCATTTATTTAAAAAGATAAAACAAGATCATGGGTTCTTTGTATTGGCACTTTGCACCAGAAACATATCATTATTTATTGATGTGATTACTTATTTGTTATCCACCTTGTACTAGTAAGTTTTAGCACCGAATTCCTTCTTCATTGTTGTTTGTATTTATGAAATTCTGAAATTATGGGGAATCAGCGTAATGATTAAGTTATTCATCACCAGGCTGTAAGCAATATCTTGAGTTTGTAGCTTAGAATTGGGAGGATACTGAACATCTGGAAGACAAGTTCATTTCATCTTGAGATCATGGTGAAATATTTTGGATATATAAATTCCTTAAGCTATTGTAACCATGTTTTATTGCAAAGATGTAAAATATGCCAGATGTGTGTGAGTTGGAAATCAAAAAAAGAAAAATAAAATATGCAAAGAATTCACTGATTGTTTCACATTTCATTGAGCCCTTCACTAGCGTGCATTCATTATGTTGTCATACAAGCTTAAGAAATCAACATTGCCTCATGTGAAGGCCCACAGCTTCTAAAAACATGAAATGGAGTCCTAATGAGGTTCTGTAATTTGCTGAAACATGAGCTGCTCTGCTTGACCATCTGGCAGGGATTTAGGGCAACAGTGACCAAAGGGGAACAACCCTCATTGTTTATTCTGCATAATACATTTTGGGGGCTGCTTTTATTTTATTTAAATGGGACAAAATGGTGAAGGGTATAGCAGCTCCTTATATGAGTGTTACCAAATCACACTGTTTCCATTTGAAACCACGCTTTGTAAAATTCATCTTTGACCAGGCATGACACACACAGGGACTGAGCGACCTGGAGGAGGTGAACAGCTGTGACTACAGCAAGAGCGGCAGCAAGAGCAGTTACTGCAAGTAATGCTTCCGTCTGCATCCCCAGGATGAAAAGGACAGACGCAGCAGTAGCCCAAGGAAGGCTTGCTCTGCTCACTCTCCATCCATCCCCAAACCAGACATCCAATGGCTCCCTTGACCCAGCCCTTCCTGCAGCCCCTCGGTCCCTTGAATGTGCTGATCACTACCTGAGGTGTCTAGACATACTTCCTGGCTTCCAGCATTGTTCTCTGGGCTGTCCCCAGACCTCCTGACCTGTGCCTGGTTCTCTTATCTGACCGTGCCCATCCGTCCTCCTTCCTGCGTGAGATAGCCTGGCTACAATGCAAATCCAGTCATCTCCTGCTGAGCACCTTGCAAAGTCAGTATCAATGGCTTAAGAATGGTATTCTTGGGTTCAGGGTTGTGGCACAGCATTTTAAGCCATCACCTGCAAAGATGGCATCTGAGGCAGCAACTTAGCCTGCTGTGCGCAACTCCTGCCCGCAGGGCCCGTTTTCTGCAACACTTAATTTGACAAAGTCCAAACTCAGTAGAACCTGAACTGCCTGAAGGGGAACATAACTGTCATTCCATCAGATGACTGACATGCCAGCTCCCCAGAACTCCCTTGTCCTTAGTTCCCAGGCTTCTTCCTTCCCCAGGGCCTCCTCTCGACCCATGCCACCCAGTTTTAACGTCTTGTTGTAAATGGACCTAAACCAATTTGAGCATGCGTCAGCTTTTTTGGTAAACATAGTCTCCAAATGCCACATCCTCGCTGTGTTTTATGACTAAAGCACCATTCAGGAGCCATATCTGACACCCATGGACTCTTTTTAATCAAACAGATTTTAGACATCAGGCACAAGACCATTCACACAACTCTTCTGTGGATTTGGTTAAGTCCGGGGCCATTCCGTGTGAAAGTACATTGAGTACGGGTGCACCAGGATACTAGAAGCAGGGCCCCATGAGCCTGGTGGTGCAACAGCCAGAACTGCCTAACCCAGTCCTTTAGACGTCAAGTTTTGGGCACCTCTCTAAGCGTGCAGGTGAAAGGCCTCGGTGAATTCTTCTACCCTGGTTATAGAGAACTGGGCAGGGTCTGTCTAATACTTCAGCAAGTGTATATTGAATTCACATACACCCAGGCAGCACTCAATGACAGGAGCGCTTTTGGGAAACTGCACTGTTCAGTAATTTCATCATGTGCAAACATCATATGGTAGAGTTACACAAACTTAGGTAGTGTAGATCCATCACTTGACATGGCAATCAAGAGACTTAGAATTCCTGAGCTGTACAAGGCTGCTGCTGGTGAAACACAGCGTGCTGTTTTCGATACACTTCTTTTTTTTAAAGATTAATTTATTTGAAAGGCAGAGAGAGAGAGAGTGAGAAAGAGAGAGAGGTCTTCCATCCAGTTGTACACTTGCCAAATGACTGCAACAGTCAGAGGTGAGCCACTCTGAAGCCAGGAGCCAGGAGCTTCTTCCAGGTCTCCCATGCAGGTGCAGGGGCCCAAGGACTTGCTTTCCCAGGCCATAGCAGAGAACTGGATTGGAAGTGGAGCAGCCAGGACTGGAATTGGCACCCATATGGGATACCAGCACTGCAGGTGGCAGTTTTACCTGCTATGCCACAGCATTGGCCCCAGTACACTTCATATATATATATATACACACACATATATATATAGGAGGAATACACTCTAAAATAACAATAAAAAGTATAATAAATACAGAAACCAGTAGTGGTCATTTGTTATTATCAAATATGTGCTGAACATAATTGCAAGTACTGTATTTTTACGTCACTGGTAGTACAGTAGGTTTGTTTACAGAAGCATCACCACAAACACATAAGTAATAATATTGCATTATGACACCTTAAAATGGCTATGATGCCACCAGGAAATTTTGTACATATGTATTTACTTATAGTCTTTTAAAAATTTTTGTAAAAGTTTACTTATTTATTTGAAAAGCAGAGTTAAGGGGTGGGAGGGAGATCTTCCACCCACTCAGTCACTCCTCAAATGGTCACAACAGTCCAGGCCAAATCCAGATCTTCCATGTGGGTGCAGGGGCCAGCACTTGAGCTATTTTTGATCACCTCCGATGCATTAGCAGGGAGCTGGGTCAGAGTGGAGCAGCCAGGACGAGAACCAACACTCCAAAATGGGGTACTGGTTTAACAAGCAGCACTTTAACCCACTGCACTACAGCACTGGCCCCTCAATTATAGTTTCGCGGCTCATCATTGACCAAAACGCCATTATGCAGTACATGACTGTACCTTAAATACAACCAATATCACAAAGGAAGACCTGTTCTAGCACCCATCATGCTAATTAAGAAGCCAACAGTTACCTCAATAAAGAGCCACCAGGCATTTACTATCCTAATAAAGCAGCTGGCTTCCTTTTTGATCAGGAAGCTGGAGCGCTGGTCCTTCACGTTAGAATGAGACCATTCTGCTCAAATGATCTGTAGGGCAGATTTCTGATCAAGGTAATTATGACCCTAGAATGAAGTATAAATTAGTACATCACATGTCTATACTGAATATTTTAAAGTAAATCACATTATGAACCTCCTACTCATTCTTGCAGGCTTGGCTCAAGTGGCCCCCTCCTCCCATGTGACCACTGAGTTAGCTTCCCACACCTGGCATGTGCCCCTCACAGCACCAAGCGGAGCATTGACACCACTTCCTTTTCTCTCCTTCCCTGGAACTGTGCACTTCCTGTATAGTGGGACTCCTTCATCGTGTCTCCTTAGGACAGTGATGGATTCAGAGTACATGCTCAATGAATCTGATTTGCTGAATGGATGGAAAAACAGATCCCTGGGCAAATGGGATGGTCAGGAGCCCCTAGACAGCCCTCCTTCCCTAGCCCCAATCACCACAGCCTCATACCACCCTCTCCCACCCTGCACTACGGTGCCTTCCATTGAGCTTCGTGCTCCAATTACTGGTACAATCGTTGGCCTCCTGCATCAAAGATTCAGGGAGTCACTGATTACTGAGCAATTCCCCATAGGCTCTGAAAGAGAGAATATTTTTAAAATTGAATTACTGCTCTTAACCCACATTCATTCAGTTGGAAGAAAAGGGAACTGACATGATGTGGGTAAGAGCTTCTGGTGGGGTGGCCAATTCAACTGCCTAAGAGTAGACTCCAATAACAGTTCTCGTTGCTCTACAAGTAGCTTGTCAGTTCATGTTAGTTAGCATGGAACAATGGGGTCCAATGTTTAGTGTAGCACTTAAGACATCACTTGGGATGCCTGCATCCTGCGTTTGAGTCCTGGCTCCACTCCTGATTCCAGCTTCCTGCTAATGTGCATCCTTGCAGGCAGCAGATACAGGCTCAAATAGATGGGTTCCCGTCACCTGCATGGAGACACAGAGCAAGTTTCTACTAGACTCTCTTTCTCTCTTTTCCTCTCCAATAAAATGATTAATTAATTAATTACACATTAAAATGAGATCATCTGTAACTACTTTGACTACTGCTTTGAGTATCAAAATGCTTAACTTAAGTACCCACTAGAGCACCTAGCTTTTAAATAGAACTCTACATATGCTAATTGCCTTCTAGTCTAGTAAAAAGATACAGACATGCCTCAGAAAGTTTGTGGAAATTGGAATTAAAAGGTAAGTTTATTTTGGTGCAAAAAAAATTTGAAACTATGCATAGTTTTTCAAAATGCACATTTCCTCAACTGTTTTATTATTTACATCTGCTCAGCATCACTTCCCTGTTTATCTGCTATGTGTCTTCCTTGGAGAGACTTCCCATCTTCCTATCACATGAGTTGTTGGGACTGCTGATTGTAACTGACCCATGGGACTCCCCAAACTCAGGCTTGGACAACCGTATCACCTCCATTCCTGTGACCTTTGTGATTGCTCAGAGGCTGGACATAAACTGAGCTGCATCTGGCAGAGCCCTCTCCTGTAATTTGTATACAAGTGTGAGGAAGGAGGTCATCTTTTTCTTCTAGAGTCAGAGTCACATATCTGTCCCTAAGGAATTATGGACTGCCACCAACCCAGCTCTTCATTATGTCGAGAATACCTGTTTGCAGAGGTGACACTGAATGCATGGCAAATGGAAGAACATGTGCACCTCTCTGCCAGCCACAAGTCCCTGGGGACCTGACACTTACAGGTGTCCCAATTCTAGATGTTGGCTTTAGTCGAGAGCCAATAAATAACCCACCACCACCACCACCCCTTAAGTTAATCAAAACTGTATTGAGATCAAAGCAAAGAACCCACATATGAAACAACTTCCTGTTTCCAACGGCCCACCCCTCTTAGAAAAATGTGATGCAATCCAAACTTGGTAGGAAAGATAAGTACACTCCTGCCTTTGTGTGACCCCATAATCCCATGTTTAAGTGTAGGCCCTTAGAAAAATCTATCAGTATTCATGGAAAAGAATGCTCTTAGCAACTTTGTTCCTTAATAACCAAATACAGACAACTGAGTTAAAATACACAGACACAAAGCAATACATACCATAGGATTTCAAAATCCGATGAAACTGATATATGCTGTGAGGAAGCA